AACTGACTTTTCTGTGTCCGTATTGGTGTTAAAAATGGTTCTGGGCCAGAACAGGTTAGTAACAGTGTGTTATAAGTCTGTTCTCATGGCTAAAATATTGTTCTAAAGGGTCTCTAACAGTATCTGTTGTTTTTTGCAAAACTCTTTTTATTAAAATGCAGTTCCTGGCCATTCCAGCTTTTACACCATCCCATGGTTTCTTACCTTGTAATCCTCAGCAGCCACTTCTATTGGAACCAGAGTGTGTTCTCTGTGATCTCGGGACAGATGGCAAAGCAAACAAATGGGTGTTTGATCCACTTGACAGAAGACATCTAAAGCCCTCTGGTGTTTCTCACACACTCTCTCAACTTCTGGTTCTTTTGTTGGCTCCAGTCCAAGTTTTCTGGAGGCTTCTACAATATTCCTTAGCTGTCTGTTTGGTTTGAAGTTTCTCTAGGACGAGGTTTCTCTGCACTCAGGACAGCAGAAGTTTGTACGCAATCTCTCCCAGCTCTGAGTGATGCAGGCCTGGCAGAAATTGCGCCCACAATCTGGAGACACTGGATCTTTAAAATAATCTTTACACAACTGAAAAAGTCAGTTGACCTAGAAGTATTTTTGCTGGATTCGCAGCAGCCATGGCTGCTTCTGCAGGGAAGAGACACATTTAGTTTCCTTTTATTGTTCTCAGAAAGTGGTGTGCAAAGTTCAGAATCAGCCCAACAGGCATTTCCTGTGTATTCATTGTCTCATGTTACGCTTGGGGGGGCTGGAAACTCCTTTTGGTCTGAGTTAGCCCCTGGAGGAAGGACCAGGACAGACCGTGGAGTGGTTGCACCTGACACTGTTGGTCCCTGCAATGGTGCAGCATGTCCATGCTGCAGAACAGCGGATTGAAAAACAGCACCTGCCACATCCACACCCAGCTCCATACAGCATTTCTTCCCGCCATCGCTGGGTCACTGTATTGTGGGACTCCAGAGGTACCTACAGCATCGCTCATGGCACCGCTCTCTGCAGCAGGTGGTTTGGGAAAATGTACAAAGTACTGAGGGCTGCTGGTGGTATTCCAGCCTTTAGAAGGGGAGGATCCTAGAGTCATGTCCCTCCAACCCAATCACTGTAACCATCTATTTTCTGCGTAATGTTTGCCCTCTGCAATTGATACAATCATTTCTAAATACCGTCTTCGTAGCCATGTTCTTACACATCATCAGGGTAGATACAGATGGTCTGTGACAGAGGAAGAGGGAAAATAGGTGGCTGGGGCCAGGACCGGATTTAAACCTTACACACCCCTAGGCACAGCATCTTCAGCGTCCCCCCGCCTCCCTCCCCATGTGGTCCTACCTGGAGCCCCCGTCCCGTGTCCCCATGTGGCCTCTGTCCCCCCAGCAGCCCTGTGTGCCCCGCTGCGCCTCCTAACCTGGCTCCAAGGAGGCTGCAGTGACTTTCCACTTGAGGAAAAAGTGCCCCCGGCCACCCGCCTGCCAGCTGTTTGCTGCTGCCCCCCAGACCAGTCAGACTCAGGCAGCTCAGGCTGTCCTGGCGCCACAGCGGCCTCTGGTGGGTGAAAGGCGGAACTGCAGCACACTTTCTGCAGAAAAAAAATTTCTGCCTCTCTCGGACAAGAAATCTGCGCATGCTGCAAATGTCACAACGAGAGACAAGCGGCATGTGGGGTGTCTCGGCAGGAGGCGGGGCAGGGCAGGAGGCTCCCTCCCTCCTGAGAACTCCCGAGCAGTGCGGCCAGTGGCAGCGGGGCAGCAAAATAGCCCCAAATACCGCAACTCACAACTGCTACCTCCCACCCCTGCAACTGACAGCTAAAAATAGCCCGATTGGGCTAGAAAATCTCAGACTTGGCAACCCACAGCCCTAGGACGCTGGCACCTATTTAGAAATCCGGCCCTGGCTGGAACACTGGTGGGCAGGAGTCACTGCCTGATTCTCACCAACTGCAGCATGACGACATTTTGATATCTTCGCCAAGGGCTTTGCATGAGGCACAGATGGGCGTCTTTGCCTCAGTCTAACTTCTGCAAAGTCCTGATCAGCAAAGCTGTTCGAGTGACAGAAAGGCCTGTTTCCAGTGACGTATGCCATCAAGTGGTTTTCACTGTGAGGTGTTTTTCACCAACTTCTCAGCAAATAACATGCAGATTCAGACCAAATCTTTAGACTCTGGAGCAGTGGACTTATCTTTGGGGGACAAACACTGTCAGTATGAGCCACTGTCACTCTCCAAGGTAGTGGAAGTACCTACCGCTCGTTGGGTTATAACCTGTGAGTTGGACTCTAATAAAATCGAGCTGGGAGACATTGGGCCTCTTATCATAAGAGATTTAGCGCAAGGAAGCAACGATTAGGCCCTTACAAAAGAAATAATTTTCTGACAGTGAAAATCTTCAGTTATTGGCCTGCCTATAATCTCCTTTTCAAGGGAAAGTTCACCACGAATTTTTTGTGAAGGCAACTCTGGTGCTAGTTGAGGGAGATCAAATGCCCTTGACTGCTGTTAGTCTGGTTGTTAGCCAGCATTTAGTACACAGACTACATTGGGAAAGGACCTTCTCCTGATCATAGGTGAAGATCGACAATCATCCTAATTCTCAAATATTGCTATAAAATCCATAAAATTTGGACCTTTTCCTCTCTCTGATATAAAATCCTTTCAGATTTTGCAATACTGCCCTATGTCACAGGGGTGTGGTGAAGCACCATTAGCTGCATTTTATACATGGGGATACAGGCACAGAGACATGAAATGACTTGACCAAGGTCACACAGCAGGTCAGTCTCAGAACCAGGAGCAGATCACTGGACTCCTGAGTGACATCAAAGTGCCCTCTTCACTGAGTCATAGCTCCTGTTTCAGATGCTCGTGTCCTGTCCATCATGTAGCGATGCAGGCAGGAGCAGAGAGAGGTCAGCGGTACAATGGAGAGAGAGCAGGGTTGGACAACAGCCAGCAGGAACTTTGTGCTATGCAGTGCGCACAGCATGATGGTGGCAACTAAGTTCTCACCAGACTTGCCCTGCAAGCCAAGAGAGCTCTGAGTAAATGTCACCAGGTCTTCTCATGGAAAAATACAAACAGCTGTCTGGGGTAGAGGAGGGCAAGCACCAGCATAATGAAGTCAAGTTCTAAATCTGGTCTGAACCCTCATGAGAGTGTAAGAAGATGGTGTATACAGGTGGCAGTGGCACGTATTGGGGAAGGAGGTAGGTTAAGTTGGTTCAATGAAATAAAGACCATAATACTTCTCCTTCTCTCACTTCTCTGTGCTTGTGCATTCCAAGATCCCCAGCACTTAGTAACAGACTGGATCTAACCAGTGCAGCAAGAGCCTCTGGTTTGTGCAGTGTTCCACTGCTGTGGGTGAGTTGAAAGTTCAGCAGCAGAGTCTGTACATTAAAAACACTTTTTCATTGAAGAGCATAAACATGTGTAATCCAGTCTGGTGAAACTTCCTTTGGGTTATTTATTTTGATGCTAAATTTCCTGCTGTCAAAGAACTACAGTTCTTTATTGATTGGTGACTGCGCTGTGGATGTTGGTTATCAAATGGATATTGAGGAAAGCTGCAAGTTTTGTTGGCTGGGCAGAGGATATTTGGGGCTTTTGGCACTCGGGAAGCAGTTTGAGATTGTACAATAAATCGTATTAGTTGGGTCTTCATTCCAAAATACCCGGCTGTGAATGGTTAAATAGTGAATTTGAACTAGTACTCCTGAAAAATCAGGCCTCAAACTGGTACAAGATATTATTTATACTGAATAATTCAACTAGCTCTACCGTTTGCACCATTATTTCACTGATCTGCAAGTGAGCTCGTCAGAGAAAATCTGGACCTCTTTATCGATACCACCAGTGGTGCTGACAAACCAGCCAAAATGTGTAAGACCCTTAGAGGCATAACAAGAGGCATTGCAATTGTAGTCAGGACTATTCACTTGTGTGTGAGTATCAAAGAAATGTAAATTAGACTAGCAACCACTAACTTATCCATGTGAAGTGATAAGGATCAAGGGTAGGTACTAAACGTAGGCGTCTATGTTTACCTACATCCTCTAGGCAGTGTATCACTGTAACCAAATTAGTTGGTAGTTGCTAAATCCTTTTCATGTCTTAATAGGCTCTATTACTGTACTCAATTGTCTACAAGATCAAAAGGGATGGTTAGCATTTAGATGAAGTTCAGGAAGTAGTAATGTTATTGTCCTCATATCTCTGAAACTTGTGATTCCACATTGTGAACCAACTGTAAACCATCTTGGTAGTTTAAATGGCTGTAACTAAAGGCATTATCTTTGAATCACCCATTGAATAAGGATCACATAGTATTTGTTTCAGAGTAGCAGCATGTTTGTTCTCATCAAAGCCCACATGCTAAACTTGCTTCATCAGCTTGCCAGCCTGCTTCAGCTACAAAAGAGAGACCTTGGGCCTGATCCTGCCATCTCTACTCTGCTGAATTTTAAACAGGGACAGTTTAAGCCGTGGGAATGAGATCCCCAAGTGATTACTTGAATGCACTGGAAAGACTAATAGACTCTACATCTAAACCAGGGGTAGGCAACCTATGACACGTGTGCCGAAGGCGGCACGCAAGCAGGGGGCTCTGTATTTGGGGGCTCTGTATTTTAATTTAATTTTAAATGAAGCTTCTTAAATATTTTAAAAACCTTATTTACTTTACATACAACAATAGTTTAGTTATATATTATAGACTTATAGAAAGAGACCTTCTAAAATGTTAACATGTATTACTGGCACGCGAAACCTTAAATTAGCGTGAATAAATGAAGACTCGGCACACCACTTTTGAAAGGTTGCCGACCCCGATCTAAACTGTCATTTGGCATCTAACTTTTTGGAGGATCCAGAAAGACTCATTGCAAACTAGCAGAACGACCATCTCTGCTATGATCCTGATCTACAGACTCTCTAAATCAATTGTAATGTAAACAATTCTTTTCACCATTTACTAACTCTCTTCTTTTTTAACAACAAACCTTTAGTTTTTAGTTACTAAGGGGACTGGCTGCAGCGTGATTTTTGGGTAAGATATAAAGTATATATTGACCTGAGGACAGTGGCTTTGGGATTGGAAGACCTTTATATGTAATTTCTGGTTTTAGTAATAATTTATCACAAAAGACCAGTTTGGGTGGACAAGCCAGGAGCTGGAATGCCGAGAGGGGATGGTGCTTTGGCTTCCTGTTAACCAGTGTGGGGATACAAGAGCTCATTTTGTTACTGTTTTGGTGAATCTAATTATAGAATAAACCATCAGTTTTTGGGGTGTATCTGCCCTTTCCTGAATTGGGCATTTTCAGTGGTGATTCATACCAGGCAACAGTCACACCAGTAACAATTCTACTGTCAGCAAATTTAATAATATGAACATACACCATCCAAATATGAATTTATCCACAATTTAGAAAGACCACTTTGGGAGGAAAGTCAGATACAATCAATTGCTGACAGCAAAATCAGGGAGATTTCTAAAAGAAAAATGAATTATTTGAAGAACAAGTATTGTAATTTTTATACACAGTTTGCACCTTATGAAAACAACTCTGATGTGACAGAGGCTGGACATTTTAGTTTTAACTCTGTGCATCTGAAGGGGATTTGCCATATGATCCATTCATTTTTATTTCATATTCCTGGTATTGCCAGAGTAATTCCCACCCTTACAGTTAGATTATTTACTTGACGGTGTAATTGGGGTGGAAGAAATGATCTAGCAGGAAATGTCGTGCATGATGGAATCCAGCATCATTCATATATTTGTCATCAATCCTACATTTCTCATCTGTTTTTGCCTTGACATCCTATATTGGGCAGCGGACACAAGGGAACTGATTGGGCTTTCAGGGCTCTGTTCATTTTAAATTCATATGGAAACCAGCCTTTTGATTCTGTCTCAAAATACACCTCCCACAGCAAACCAGTGCTTCCCAGAAAGGTTTAACAGAGAAATTTCCCTCTCGGGTCCATTTACTGGGGGGCTTTAATAAGGTGACCAGGAGAACACAAGCAGTTCGCCTACCCGGGGAAAATTCATTATTCTAGAAAATATATTAACACATTAAAACTAACACAATGGTAAACACGACTTAGGTTCTTTTGAAACTCCCACCTGAAGTTACTTATCAGCACAAGTTCCATTGAAAATCAATGAGTCTTACGTTGCTTCGGTTCTTTTGAAAATTCCAGCCTTCGCACCTCGTACACACACTAACAGTTGTATTTAAATATATATTAGCTGGTTGTGGCTAAATAACAATCAGTTAATATGATTTTAAACGCCCCCGTTCCTCCCCCCTAGCTTCTTCAGCCAGGCCTCCGATCCTCCTCTGTTCTCCTCACTCCCCACAAGCCACCTCTTCAGTCCTCAGCTGGGTCCTTCTCCCACAGGGGCTCCCTCCTTCCTTGGTGTGACCCGCCCCCCCCTCCACTCCACACCGAGCTGGCCTCCTAGGAGCATAGAGACCCAGCCTAGAGCGCCTCACGCAGACCTCCACAGCCATAGAGCTACGGGTAGAGCGTCACTCCCCGTTCAGCACTGTCTGTGTGGCGGGAGACTGGCTGGCTCAGTCCTCCAGGTCATAGAGATCAGGAGGGCGAGGGCTAGAGGAGCCGCACAGTAACACCAGCCCAGAAGAACGGGCGTATTCTCTCCCCGGCGAAAGAGGCCGGCGGGAATGTGAAGATCGGGTCCTCGTTACCAGCATCGAAAAACATCACCCGCCCCTCTTCATAGTCCAGATACACCCGGATCCTGCGGGGTGCCCGGCTCGGGGACAAGGGGAAAATCTGCACAGGGGACGTGAGAGCCCGGTACTGATCCTCACTGCCCTGCACAGCCCAAATCCCCTGCTCAGGGTTAAAGTTGATCCCTCCCTTCCTGCTCACAGACTCTCTGGCCACCCCCACAACATAGAGTCCCCAGTCCTCCATATGCATCTCCATCTCCACCTCCCAGTAATGTCTGCCCGAGGTGAATCCCTCACAGCCCAGCACACAGAGATCAGTGTCAAATCTCTCAGGGTTGTCAGGCAGAGCCTGCCGTGTGCGTCCCATTCTCACACTTTTCCGATCCGCAGACAGGATGAGGTTGCAATGGGCCGTGTCTGGATCCAGAGTCATGTTCACTGCAGAGACAGAATCAGAGTGTGAGGGGCAGTGCTCAGCCCTGGGGCAGGGTCTGATCGTATCAGTGACAGAACCTGCCCCAGCTGGGGAGTGAACCAGAGAATCTCCTGCCTCCAGGATTTACCCAGCTCTGCATGGGGAGCAGCGCTGAGATCTCAGCCATGGGCAGGGGGGATTCACACCCTGACAGAGCCAGGTCAGTGACAGAGTGAAGGGATCAGCTCCGCTGAGCCAGGCCCCCAGACCCAGAGTCTGAGTCTCAGTTATTCCATCCCTGTGCTTGGGGGAAAGACAAGGGGGGTTAGGGGGAGGTGGTTTTAAGCCACCTTTGTCCTTCCTTTAGTCTCCCTGGCCCCTCGTTACAGGGGCCTCAGCGCTGCAAAGCAGAGAGCAGCCAGAGTGTGATGCATCCTGTCTATGCGCCCAGCAGAGCCATGTCTTGGGTAGGGCAAATCAGGGCAACCGCTCCAGGCCCCGCGATTGGCCATCGGGGATCTGTCACTTCCGCCCAGCAGATTACAGGGAATCCAAAGTCCCCCTGTCCAATGATGCAACTCTCCACAGCCCTGTCTCCTTGCAGAGCCCCATGCCCCAATCAGGGCCCAGCTGGCCCAATAAAGGCTTGAGCCAGGAGCTCAAGCAGAGACAGACTCCTTCTAGCTTTGAGAGGGAGGGACCTGGCTGCAGGGAGCTAAAAGTAGGTACCTGGCATGGAGCAGGGCTGGGGAAAGGCCAAGAGAGCTGGGGAGCTCTGGCTTGGAAAGTCCCAGGCTGCGGCCTAGCGAAAGGCCGAACAGGTACTGCGGTGGCAGGGGGCAGCCTATGGGTAGCCAGAGGCAGCAGGTCCAAACCCCTTTGCCTGTGATGAGTGCTTATACACTGCAGTCTGCCCAGTGAGTGGGGCTAAGTGAGGACTGGCAATAGCCAAGACTGAGGTGAAGTGAGGATAGTGGGTGGAGGTTCCCCTGGGAGAGGGAGACCCTGAGACTGAGGGGTTACGCCCAGAGGAGCAGCACCCCAAATAAAAGGGGCACTGGCGTCCGAGGAGGGACACGGGGCCAGTGGTAAGGCGGATCACTGGTGTGCAGAGGGTGCACAGGAAGCTGGACGAGCTAATTACCAGAAGTGACCAGCAGGAGGCGCCACAGGGGTGAGTCTGCACACTTACACTGACATTTGAGAGCTCTATCCTGAGTGGGGCTTAATTTTACTCAGAAATCGCATCTCTCACAATCAATTCGTGAGAGTTGGCATGTCTCCTAATAGGTGATGTCTACCTAACCCCTTTTGACATTTTTAATAGTTTTTTTCTTTTGACTTATAAAGTAGAGAGATAAAACAGAAATGTATATTTTTGTATGTTGAATTTTCCCATTCTTCATTGTACCACTTGTGCATTTACTACTATGGCCAGGGGGATGTGATGTATGTGCCTAAAGAGATCTGAAAATGAGGTGAGACGTTCCTCTCTGATTTTCCAAAAGGCTCATTTTTAAACTCTTGTATCTCTACTCTTGTATCGCCCCCTCTCCCTCACCCCAGCCCATCTGGTTAGACCAACCACTAGTTAAAAATTCTAAATCATAATAGAGAAAAGAATCTACTTTTCTGTTTTTAGGAAAGATCTGTGTAGCCACCAGTAATATAGTGCTCAGCTCCTGTCACATGCAAAACTGAAACAAAACCTGAACTATGGTGCTGCCAATGAGCCACCATGATTCATATGAAAGTTTTCACTCCCTCTTTGATCCCAGAAATTTACCTTTGTCCAACCTCTGTCTAGATGACAGTGAGTCTAGAGGAAGAAAAGGGTAAAAAAGGCAATGTCATGTTTAGGGATATATTCACATTGTTAATATTCTAACACAAAAGCAAAATAAAAAGAAAACAAACTTTATGAAGTTCTAGTTAAGGAGGTTAAGTGCAATTCAGACCAATACAAACCATTACACACCTCACTAAAAAATAACCACAAACATTAAAAACTAAGGACATGACCTAAGGTTACATGACAGATCCAGAGATGTTTTACCAGCAATTAAACACCTGTGGCTGGCCCACGACAGCTGACTTGGCCTCGGGCACTGGGGCTGTTTAATTGCCATGTAGATGCTCGGGCTTGGGCAGAAGCCTGGGCTCTGGGACCCTGTGACGGGAGAGGGTCGCAGAGCCCAGGCTCCAGCCCGAACCTCGTGAGCCGGCGTCAGGGGACATGTGCCAGCCACAGGTGCTTAATTGCTGTGTAGACAAACCCTCTGAAACCAACACATAATTCACAGACAGACCAATACACAAACTTTCACCGATAGCAGCACCACTCCCCTCCCCCACTGCGGGGCTGGAGCCACCAGTGCTGACTCGCCCCGCTGAGGGGGGAAAGTCGCGAATCTCTGCGCAGAGCTGCGGGAACTAGGAGTGTGGGAGGGTGCTGCAGCACCCCCCCCCCCGCAAGTTTTGTGCAGGGTCCCAGACTCAGCCCCCTTACCCCTGTCCACGTCCCCACCCTGCCCTCTCGGAGCCACAGCCCAGTCTTGGCACCAGTTCTGGGGAGAGGGAGCACAGATGGGGATAAGGGGGGGAGGGGGTGCCATGTAAAAAGCTTGGGACCACTTGCTTTCAGCATACCCACTGTAAAAACTGTTCCAGTGCCACTTCCTCTAAACCCCCCAAGGGGCTGGAGCCGCGAGCATCGGCTAGGCCTGCTGCAGGGGGGGACGCCCCAAGCCTCCTCTCTGTCCCGCCGCGGGTGAGTGGCCACGATTGATTTTATTCTGTGGGTCAATGGCCTGCGATAGAAAAAGGTTCCCCACCCCGGCTCTAAAGCAAGAGAGGGACTATGGTGACACAGGAGGCCTTGCAGACAAAAAATCCAAACAAACATACTTCAGAAACAGTTAATTCAGCAGGCAGCTCAAGCTCAGGTTAACATTCATAGCTGCTAGGAAAGGAAATCCCCAGGGAGTCTGAATTTAGGACCCTAACCCAGTGTGTATGTGCTGTATTGAGAGCTGAGAATTCATAGCTTCCAAATGATTAGTTGACAATCTCCAGCCACAATTATTTTCCCTAAGAGATTTCCCCAGCTCTGTCAATTATCAGTGTAATATATGAGAGAATTCCCCAGGGGACTGTTTATTACCTTTGAATTTCTTCATTATGGGCTCCAGAGATGCATTTCTTTGAGAAGATGCCCAGATTCTCCATTTCAGGTCAGAAGAAAAGGCCACTGGGTTCTGAAACTTCTCCCTCTCGCATCTGAAGAACAACCCAGTGTTACTCGTTGTGGAGTTCGGTCGTATTTGTTTTTTACTAAAATGTATTTTATTCTCGTGAATGGCTGTAGCTCAGCAGACCCAGGAGGATTAAAGTCTCTCTTGCCCCAGGAATAGGTCCAATACCAGCTGTGACACTACAAGCTTCCCCTTCATTTTGGTGAGACTGAGATGGGAAACTGCATCCAGTTCTGGTGTCCCCATTTTATAATGGATGTTGAAAAAGTGGCAACAGTTCAGAGAAGACCCACAAAAATGATGTGAGGCCTGGTAAAAATGCCTTGCACTGAGAGAACCCTGGCACTTGAGTGTGGGGTATAAATACCGTCATGGGGAGAATAGACTTTGTACTAAAGGGCTCCTCATTTTAGCAAACAAAGGCACAACAAGGACCAATTGTGGGAAGCTGAAGCCAGAGAAATTCAAATGGGAAATCAGACAGACATTTTAAAGAGTGTGGGTGGATTAACCATTGGAAGAAACTGCCAAGGGAAGTGGTGGATTCTCCATCTCCTGACAGCGGCACCAGAACAGGGGGGCCATGGCCCCCATCACTTGTAAAAGTGGGAGAGCTCTGCTCTCTCCCTTTTTACCTGCCTTACAGGCAAGTGATAGGGGGTGGGGGCAGAGGAGTGAGCAGGGGGCACGGTCTCGGGGGGGGGGGGGGGGAAGGGGCGGAGCAGGGGTGGGGCCATGGTTTGGGCACCGGTGGCCCCCCCACACTTCTAGGGAGCTTCAGGCATTACTGTCTGTTAATGTCTTCAAATTTAGACTGAATGGCTTTCTGGACGGTGCTTTAGTCAACACACGTTAGGATTTAGTCAAATACAAGTTATTGGGCTGAATACAGGAATAATTGGGTGAGATTTAAGGAGCTGTGATACATAGGCACTGACTTCATGGGTGCTCCAGGGCTGAAGCACCCATGGGCAACCCCAAAGTTCAGCTCTCCCCCCCACTCTCCCCAGTGCCTCCTGCCAGCTAGCTGGCCTTGCTGCTCAGATCCCCCCCTGCCTCCCGCCCACTGGGGATCAGCTGTTCAGTAGCAGGCAGGATGCGCTGGTGGGGAGGTGGTTAAGCAAGGGCAGGAAGAGGCGGGGTAGGGCCTTGGGGGAAGGGGTGGAGTGGGGGCAGGGCCTGGGGCTGAGTGGGGTTTGAACACCCCCGGGGGAATGAGAAAGTCAGAGCCTGGGCTGTGATATACAGGAGGTCAAATGTGGTGATCTTACAGACCTTTCTGGCGTTCAACTTTATGCATCTATGAAACTCAGTAATACCATGTGATATTTCCACAGGTTAATAATGAATTGTGTAAAAGAAAGTATTTCCTTTTCTCAGCTTTACACTAGTTGGTTTCAGTTGCACTGAACATCCTCTTGGTCTTGTATTGTGAGTGTGGGTATCCTGTACATCATCTAAGGGAGATAATTAGCAACAATCCCATTGTACCAGGACCTGGATGAGACCCACTAACCCATTTCAAAGATAATTTACATTCTTATTTAGTTCTTTGGATACATACAATGGTCAGTCTGCTACCACAGGGGTTCTCAGCTTACAAAGGCTAGTGTGTGTCCACTCCACACTGAGGGAGTGGCAAACTACTTAATGAACTTGCACTGCCCAAGGGAGCCTTGAGCAATATAAGACTGTGTAGTTGTGGGGTGTAGGGGTGGAGTTGACTGGCTTGTTCATGAGTGGCTGGAGGGCATTCATGTTACACAGTTGGCTGTGTCCCTGACTGGCTGTAAGTGCGGTGCCTGTCAGAGGCTTGTAGCTTGACATCAGTATCGCCATGCGAGAGGCAGCCCAGGTTGGGGATTGGGAGGGCTCAACAGTCCCACAGTCACGGTTGCACCCCGGGAACCCGTCACACTAATGTAAATCTCCCTTGTAATCTGTTTAATTTGCAACTTCTTGTTCTACCCTGAGTGGACTTGAAGAACAACTGATCACTGTTCTCTTTATGACAGTCTTATACATATTTGAAGACTATCAGGTCGTCCCTTCTCTTCTCTAGACTAAACACGCCCAGTTCTTTCAATCTTTCCTCCTAGGTCACGTCGTTTAAACCTGATCATTTTTGTTGCTCTCCTCTGAACTCTCTCCAATTTGTCCACATCTTTCTGAAAGTGAGATGCCCAAAACTGGACACAGGATTCCAGCTGAGGCCTCACCGTGGCAAGAAGGGTGGAACAACATCCTCCTGTGTCTTACATACGACACTCCTGTTAATACATCTGCGATGGGGTGTTCACTCCACATCAGCTCCCCAAAAGAGTAAGGGAAGCTGAGAAAGAGGAGATTAGTAAGAAGCCATACATGAGCGGTTTAGGCCAGAGAAGCATGTATAAAGGCTGAGCTAGTATAAAGCCAGGAAGCTGGCAGCAGAAATTGGCTGCAGTGAAAAAGTCTGCAGCCACTGTGTGTGCATTAGAAAGAGGAAACCCAGGGAAAGAACAGCATGCTGGGAGCCTGGCCTTGGGGGAAGGGAGTACTTAGAATCATAGGATTAGAAGGGACTGCAGGGGTCCTCTAGTCTAACCCCTATAAGAGAGAAGGGTGGAGAAGAGAGCCTATGGGAGGTGAGTAGGAAGCAGCCCAGGGAGACCAGACCTTGCCTGTATGTGGTAGGGTCCCTGGGGTGGAACCTGGACAAGTGAGCGGGCTCAAGTTCCCCTACCAGCCACTGATGTGGTGGCATTGCCTGGACAGTGGGACCAGAGAGACTCTATACCCCAGAAGGGGAAACCATTTAGTGAGTCACACAGAGGAAGCTGCAGCTCTTGGAGTGAGAGATGAGGCTGCAGAGTGAGAGAGACAACAGGAGGAGAGACTGCCAGGGAAGGTGTTGGACCTGGAAGAGAGCTAGTCCTCAGAACAGCCAGGAGGCGGCACCACCTGCGGTGAATACAGCAACCTGCGATAGCATCCCAGCATGACATTTGGCTTTTTCACAAGAGCATCACACTGACTCATTCAATTTGTGATCCACTTTAACTCCCAGATCTTTTTAGGCAGTACGGCTGCCTAGCCAGAGCTTCCCTATTTCGTAGCTGTACATTTGATTTTTTCCTTCTAAAGTGCAGCACTTTGTCTTTATTGAATGTTCCCTTCAAATTTATTTTAATCTTTCCTCCCTCCGCCCTTTGTCTCGTGTCTATTTAGACTGTAAACTCATTGGGGCAGGGACTGTCTCTTACTACGTGTCTGTGCAACGCTCAGCATACTGGGACCTGATTTTGCCATGCACCTCTAGGCACTGCCATAGTTCTACTAATAACAGCACATTACAAACTTCTTAGAGCAGGTAATGTCTTTTCCATGATATCTGTTGCCACGCCCAGCACACTGATAGAGCTCACTGCATAATAAGAAACAATTAATAAACAGCTCATTGAATAGTCATCAGATGGCCCTGACTTTCCATCCCTACCAACCTAGGTGGAGTTTGGAGTCTATGACCTAGAAATGAAAAACGCACTCTCCATCCCCAATATCCATTCCACCAGATATACTATGAATAACTACCCTGTCTGTAGGTAAATCACTCTTTTCTCAGGCTGGTCTATTCTGGAGTCTAGTCAAAACGACAACAGCCCCAAGATTAGATTTAACGGAGGGAACCAACCCCATGCTCTGCACTGCTGGACCATGGGGAGCAATGTCCTGTGTTCAAAATCACTTCTCTGCATAGGAGAAGGAGTCACATACCTGTTCAAGGTGCCTTTGATGCCCTAGAGGGGAGAGATAAAAGGAAATTCAGTCTCAAATCTCATACTAAGGATCCCTCCTGCTCTGGAGGGGACTCACTTTGTCTTCACAGTTTGAGGTTCAAAGTGAAATTTGTTATTTATTAATGCAAACAAACTTTGAATGTGTTGCCTTTGCTCCTTTGGAAAAGTGCTGTAAGTGCAGGATCTGGGCCTGGGAAGTTTGTATAAGGAGGCAATTAGCTCTTTGTGTAATAACATGTGGATAACCACATGGAATCAGAGGGCTCAGTCTTGTGGTGTGTTGAACAAGGATCTTCCGAACACTCACAGGTTTGGGGAAGATCCCGTCTTGCAGACTCCAGTGGGTCCAGAGGGAGGGATGCCCCCATGCTGTGCTGCCCCCATGCTGTAAACTCTCTCCTCACTCGCCCACATACATTCTGAAGGCACATCCTGTGGATTTCTTGACATCCAAAGTAAGTTGGGGCTGGGTGAGAACAATGGGTTTGGGGTACAGAATAAGGATCATTTACTATCCTACACCCCAGGTTTAATGCAGGAGACCTGAGAAGTGAAGAATGCTGCCCACAGCTGATATTGATTGGAACAGAGATAGCAGCTAGAGAAGTCCAGGATGTTACGTTTTATTTCTCACCTTCTTTCTTGTTTGCTACTTAAAGGCATTTTTTGAAAATTGAAACAATTTAGAAAGCTTTTGGAATTGAACGACTACCACCTTTCCTAACTAACTTCAGTACTGACCGAAAAAAATCACTGCACCCTCAGAGCTCAGGTATCAGTTATAAGGCCAATATTCTCCCTTTTTGTGGTAGGTAGGAAGAGTGGCAAAATCAGGCATAAAATGAAAACTCAGCTTCAATCTTTGCTATTTCCATAATTAAAGACTAGTTCCATCTTTTATCTTTTGGAGTTAGTGCCTGGAACACGGGAAATGCCAGACTGGATCAGACCTGAGGTCCATCTAGTCAGTATACTGTCTCCAAAGATGGACAGTGTCAGATGCTTCAGAGGAAGGTGTAAGATAATCTGCCCCCCACAGTTTCATCCTGTTCTCTAATAGTTAGCAACTGGCTGAAGAAATGAAGCATGAGGTTTAATATCACTCTAGATATTCCATTATTCATATAAATATCCGATCACTTGAGTTTTGCTAAGTGCTTGGTCTCAATGACATCTGGTGGCAATGAGTTCCACAGTCTAATTATTGGTGTGTGAAAAAGTGTTCATTGGATCAATTTTGAATTTGTAACCCTCTAATTTTATTGAATTTTCCTTGCATTGCAAGACAGGGAGAACAGAGTTTGGAGTTTGCCATTTTTGGAGGAGTCTTCTCCCATTAGAATTCAAAATAAGGTGTGTTCCCCCCCCCATTTAGGGCTTGATCCAATGCCCACTGTACTCAAGTAGATTTCCATTGACTTAAATGGCATTGGATAAAGCACTTAAGGAAAAAAAATGTATATTTTAGCAATACTGTACGTTCTGATCATTCACTCAACCCTTCATTTTTGGAGTGCAGACGAGACTTTATTTCCCTGTGAAAGGTTCTGGGTTGTTTCTAACACCGTCTCACCTGCAGGAATTCACTTGCTGGCTGCTGGAACTTCTGTTCCATCTCACTGATCAGGGAACTGAAAGAAGATAGTTCCTCAGATACTTTGGCTACATATTCATCCCTCCTCTTTTCAATTTCCTTATTCAGCTCTTCCAGCTGGACCAGCAGGAGTCGCTCTTGTTCCTCCAGAAACTGGCACAGTTGCTGAAATTCTGACACAATCTTCTCCTTCTCAGTTTCTAGCTGTTTCTGAAATGAAGAGATACAAACAGGGAAAGAACAGGTCAAGGACAGGAACACAGAGTAATGGGGCATTTTATAAAGCCTTATGTATGCACATAGGAGCAGGTCATTACAACCCCATAGAATTTAACTTCTGATATTTTATGGAGAACATACTCCATGCTCAGACGATTTTCAAGAGTCCTAACTAGTGTTTAGAATATGAATGTATCTTGCATTATTAGAATATTTTATTATCGGTGGCATCTAGAAAACCAGATCCTTCCTATGACAGCAGGTGTGGGAACCAGAACTGGACAGGCAAAGAATACTTCTGGGGAGCAAATAATAGAACCCAAACTGAGAAGCACTAGACTTGAATTGGGGAACACTTGCTCGCCACAAAGTACACCTAGATGTTTAGGGCCATGTTTTCTATTAAAATCAGAACCCCAACAATTGCTCTGACGAGTTTTGAATGCACAGTTTAGGATGCATACATTTGTCCCATCATAAATCTCCAATTTTAATCTACACAGGGATTTCTGAGCAGAAATTGGGTGGCTGGCAAGACACCTATTTGCATGTTCAAATCTGAGTTTGCAGGGCACTTAGAAACATGTGTAGATGAACTGGACAGAAGCCCACCAATTCATGCTCTTTCTGGAGCACTCTAGCTCCAGATACCCTAGGAGCAAAAACTTGCATCATATTTAGAACTCAAATCTTCTTCATGGCAATGTCGCGCAGGAATATCACTAGGGCCTGTTCTGAAGCTCACCACAATTAATAAGTTTTTCCCATGACTTCAGTAGGGTTTGGGGAGGAGTTAAGTGACCATCCTCTCTGGGGCAGCAGATTTCTATAGCAGCTGCCCACACAATTCTGTTGTGGTTATTGTTAAAGGGCTTTCCCTTAGCCCCTCCCCTGGTTCTTGTCACGCAGACAGAAAGCAGAAGACCAAAAGTCTAAAGTGTAGGCAATGCAATGTTTATTGGGGTTAGTTCTAAGCAAGTATATCAATAGCTCTACACACCTGCACAGTCTGTTCCCCAGTGCCCCCCCTTCCCAGTTTTGACACCACAGAGCCTTGCCTGTGTCCCTGTTCCCCATTTCCTCCTCCTTAGCAGGTCCAAATATACCTTCAGTCCCTGCCTCTAGTCACACCCCTTACAACTTATGGTCATGTTCCATTTTGGAGGGTCAACCCACCTCTTTTGTATCCCATGGGAGGGTAAGAAGTAAGGTTGTGTACTCGCCAAAGCCAGGCTTTTCTTTGGATTTTAGTGTTTCTTATGCCTCCCCTGCATTCCCTTTTGCTCCTCCTAACTGGTTGCTTGACCTTGGCTTGAGAGAGGAGCCAGGCAGCCTTCCAGTGTATGCTCATATATTACTCCCACCATACCCTGTACACTTTATCTGTTCATATCCATTCCTATTATACTAACAAACCCATCTGGCCAGGCAGAAGCCACGCAGTGTCTTTGTCCGTTGTTCTTCACACACATTAGTAAGGATGTCAGAGTATCAAAAGTCAAACCCAAAATTCTATCTCAGGTTAACAAACAGGCTTATATACTAACAGTTCTGTCTGTTTGAAAGTAAAGCCAAAAAATGGGGGAGGAACTCGCAAAAAAAAATTGAAATTTCAAAGTCATTTCTATTTTTCAGTGTTTGTGTTCAAAATGGGATAACTTAATTTGTTTGAAAAATATCGTGAAAGTTATTTCATGATATTTTTCAATTTGTTTCCCCTTTTTTCTAAAACGTAATAAAATGTCCATTTCCCGCCCCTGCCCCATTTTTTTTCTTTTATTCCATTCTCTCTGAAACGCTTCAAAAGTTCTCCCATTTTAGAAAAATTGGCAAAAAGGAAAAACTAGGAGGAAAAAACCTGGAAATTATTCATGTTATTGTACTCAGTGACAAAAAGGAGTAAACAGGGAAACAAAGGGATAAAAAACATTTGAAATTTTGAAAAATGTTCAGCTTTTTTAAACCAAAATGAAAACTTCAGTTTGAAATGAAAATCATTTTTGTTCATTCTGAAGTTTCCTGTCAAACTCATTTTTCTTTATTTGCAAAAGACATTTTCCCATGGAAAAAAATTGTTTTCTACTAAATCCCATTTTGCTACAGGACGTTTTTTTTGGTTGAAAAATTTCAACCAGCTCTAGTTGAAAGACTAAAGGAGAAACTACTGTTTAGCTAAACAAATTATACTCACATTATCAGTGGAAATATTTGGATTACTAAAACACTTTCCTTAATACTCCGTTTTCCTGTTTATACTCAAATCAGAACAATGAGAATAAATAAGTAATAATATTTCATGGAAGGGAAGATGTTTCTCACTATTCTTGTGTTAGACTAAGCAGAGTATCAACAATGTCCCTATACACATTTGCTTCTGAGTAATAATGGCACCTACCAGTAGTTCCTGGCTTGTATTTTCCTCACTCAATTTATACGACAGAATCTCTTCACTCTCTTTTTTCAAACTCTCCAAACGGCTCTGTACTTGGTACTAACAAAAGAAAAACTGGTTTAGTTTCGGTTGCTTTTGGAGGCCTCCCCACCCCCCATTTTATTTATATTTTCAAGAATATTAAAATGGGTGAGTGCTCTAACTACATGACTATAGTCATTCTCATGCTTGTGGTCTCTTTCTCTCTCCCTCCCACAAATGACCCTCTAAGTGTTTATCCCCAGTGGAATGGCTTCAACGGGAAAGATGGAGGGAGCCCTACCTCAGAATATCCCATAGAGAGGTGACAGATCCCTGTTCAAATCCCTTCTCCTCATCAGGTGAAAGGGGGACTTGAACTGGCGGCCTCCCATATCCTAGGTGAGTACTGTAAACACTGGGCTAAAAATTATGAGAGAGGTCTTTCTCTGTGTGAACTCACCTGAGGCTGCCTACCAGATTAGGCCCCACACAGCAGTCAGGTGGCCTCACACTGATCTTCCCTCGGGTTATGAATCACTCTGGGACTTAGGAAGAGGATAGGCACCTGGGTGCCTAGAGCAAGGGAGCAGTGTGAATGGCCAGAAGCAGAAACACAGGTGCTGAGGGAACTATTTACTAAAAAACAGATGCCGAGTGAGTTTAGGAACCTACAGGGCTCAGCCGGAGTTTTGTGAATTGCAGTGGAGGCTTCAACTGGGGTTTAGGCACCTGAGTAACTTCGGTGAATCTAGGCCTCACTGAGAGAGAAACTAAGCTAAGGGCAGGGGCTTGACTGAGGCATCACTTCCCCAGTGCACAGGTGCACACACTCCGCTCATGCTCACTACGAACCACATTGTCATGTAGGGCATATTTTGATATATCACCGGCTTTGGCATTTCTATGAGGGCCTGAGAAATAATCTTCCCTCCTCCCCCTAAACATAACCAATCCCTAACCACCCCACTAAGCACTGGGATTGCCTGAGAATATAGGGGAGAGTCAGTTAGATGATTCACTGGGACACAGTCCAAACAGAACTAAGTGACACACAAGCTATGGGCATATAGGATCTTTAATTCTTCTTTACCCCAGCTACCTACAGAAAAAGTACAGCCGAGCTGCTTGATCCTTGCAATCATAGTGCTTAATGTACATCAGTTACATTTTCAAGACTCCCTGCTATAAAAGGTATTTAACATGGCTTGGTTTTTATTATGGAGAGGGGAGAGAGGGGTGTTGCTTGGCTGAGGAGGAAAAGATGGTAAGAAATGGACATAATTCTTTCCCAGCTGCCAAAGCCGGTGTGTACTCCTCCCTGATTCTCCACCTCCTTCCCCCCAGATAATAGGACCCTGGATCTTCATTTTGAAAATATGGTCACCCTAGTCCTGCCTCTGCAGATTTCAAGAAATCTATTGGAATGGGCCAGCCCAGCAACCGTTGTCCATTCTGTATGAGATGCAAACCCTGCATCCCCCACCCTGCAAGGATTAAAAGGGAAACTGTGATCTGGAACTTGTAGACTCAGAGTTTCCTACTCCCATGTGGATTTTTCCCTACACAGGGGATGACCTTGCTCTAGGGCACACAAATCATACCCTGCTTTACATATCCTGGTACTATTAAAGCCATACAGCCCTGCTAGTGTGGGTGTAGTTATACCTGTATAAGAGTGTATCGCTTATTCCTGTATGAGAAGAGAAACAAGCATTCCTGGCATCAGGCACCTTTATACAACCTGCATTCACACTAGGGTTTTGCTGGAATAACTATTTTGTTTAAAAAAACAATTTTAGATCAGTAAAACACTGTCGATAGAGCAGGCCTCAAAAACACGTCTCCTCGGCATTCTTCCTGGGCAAAATCCCTTCTGTTTCCCTACCTGTGATTGCAGTTTTATTAGGTGGTTGGTTCTAGGTTTCTCAGCGGGCTCTGCTCTGAAGGGTTACAGACCGCCTGGCGGGGAGGCATTTGCAACACGCTAATGAGTAACTCTTACCTGGTAATCCAGGGCGGCCTCCTCGATGGGCACCACGGCGTGGTCTCGGTGGGTGGGGGACTCCGCGCAGAGCAGACAGATCGGGGTTTCATCCACTTCACAGAAGAGTTTCAGAAGCGCCTCGTGTTCCCCGCAGGCTCCGCTCGCGGTCGGGTCTGGGATGTTTCTGGCAATTTCAACGACGTTCCCCAGCTGCCGGTTAGGCCGGAACTCCCCTTCCCGGAACGGGTCCCCGCACTGCGGGCAGGCGCAGGCCGGGGGCAGCGGGGAGGCCGGGCAGCGCCGAGCGATGCAGGCGCGGCAGAAGTTGTGCCCGCACCGGAGGATGACCGGATCTGTGAAATACTCCCGGCACAGGGGGCAGATCAGCGCCGCCTGGAGCTCTCGCGCCCGCTGGGACGAGATGGCCATGGGCCCGGCGGCAAACCAGGCGCGTCACGCGCGCCCCGAGCCGGGGCCGGATCGCCGCCCGGCGCGGCGCGGCGCGGGGCCCTGCCGGCCTGGGAAGGGGGTGGGGGTAAGTGACCCCCCGCCCACGTGACCTAGCCGGGGGCTCCCGCGCTCCCCCTGCCCCCAGGCGCTGTCGGGCGCTTCCCGCCTAGGAGAGGGTCCAACCGCCAACCCGCCCCGGGCAGCTTCCCTTGCCGCAGTCATCCTGACCCGGAAGAGGAAGGGCTCTCTAGCCCCGCCTCTTCCTGTCCACCGTGCCCCCCCACTCTCGGCGTGTGGGGAGACCCCGTGTCCATCCTCGCGCCCCCCCTCCCCGCGTCGCCGCCCAAGGCCCCGCCCCTTCCGTGCCCACCGGAACCGCCTCTTCTCCCCCCCCCCCCACCAGCGCCGGGCAACTGCACGGCCCCAGCCCCCCCCCGCGTTACCCGCCACCCATTTACCCCGTGGTAGAGGATGATTGGGGGTGGGTGCACAGGGGCCCAGGGGGAGCAGAGGGTATCCCGTGGGGGGAGTATGGGGCTCCCGACGGGGTAGGGGTGGGGGCATAGGTACCCCGTGGGGGCTGTGACTGGGAGGAGTATGGTGTCCCTGACGGGGTGGGGGCATAGGTACCCCGTGGTGGGGGGATTATAGGGCCCCCGACGGTGTGGGGGTGGGGGCATAGGGTACCCCGGGGTGGGGGGCTGGGGGGGAGTATGGGGCCCCTGACGAGGTGGGGGCATAGGGTACCCTGGGGTGGGGGGCTAGGGGGAGTATGGGGGCCCCTGACGGGGTGGGGGTATAGGGTACCCTGGGGTGGGGAGAGCACGTGGTTCGACCAGGAGTGTTGTAAGCAAGAAATGAGAAGTAATTCTTCTAATCTACTCAGCACTGATCAGGCCTGAACTGGAGTCCTGTGTCCAGTTGTGGGCACTGTGCTTTGGGACAAACTGAAGAAAGTCCAGTGGACAGCAACCAAAATGATTAAAGGTTTAGAAAAATAACCTATGAAGAAAGATGATAAAATATAGGTTTGTGTAGTCCAGGGGTGGGGAACCTCCGGCTCCCAGTTTAATTTGATCCCGCCCGCAGCAAGTCTCTGTGCCACGGGCCAGAAGCCCCGCGCCTCAGTGTCCCCACACGGGGTTGGAGCGCCATTCCTACCACAGGTGAGTGGAGTGAGATTTTTTTTTCTTTCTTGGTTGGAAGCAGGTGAATTGAGTGAGCTGGTTTGGTTTGGGTTTTTTTTTTTTTTTTTCGCTTGTGTGTGGCCCGCGACTGATTTTTCTGTGGGTCAATGGCCCCTGACAGAAAAAAGGTTGCCCACCCCTGGTTTAGTCTGTAGACTAGAAGACCGAACAGGTCATGTGAAAGGTTGTTTTAAAGAGGAGGGTTATAAATTATTCGCCTTATCCACTGAGGACAGGACAAGAAGTAATTGGCTTAAATTGCATCAATGGAGATTCAGTTTAGACATTAGGAAAAATTTCCTCACTGTAAGGGTAATTAAGCCCTGGAGCAAATTGCCTAGGGAGGATGTGGGCTCTCTGTCATTGGAGATTTTTAAGAACAGGTTAGACAAATACCTGTGAGGGTTGGTAGATGGTACTTAGTCCTACCATGAGTACAGGGGACTGGATAAGATCACCAAGGTCCCTTCCAGCCCTACATTTCTATAATTATTCAGATGATTTGCTTCATTTTTTTTCAAAATAAAATTTTGAATCAACACTTTTCCACAAAAAGAACAGCAGTACTTGTGGCACCTTAGAGACTAACAAATTTATTTCAGCTGAAATAAATTTGTTAGTCTCTAAGGTGCCACAAGTACTCCTGTTCTTTTTGCGGATACAGCCTAACACGGCTGCTACTTTGAAACTTTTCCACAAAACATTTTGATTTCAATGAAACAGCATTTTCCAATGTAAAATATTCCATCAGAACATTTTCTAACCTCCTCTAGTTTTCAGGCTTTTCTTTTGTGGAAGTGGAGAAAGGGATAAAGGGAAGACTGTGTTTTCTTCCACACTTTGTAACTACAAGGGTTAGAAGCTTCCCTGCTTAATGAAGCTGAGATTGTCATCTATCCTCTTGACTCCAGGAACTGGGGCTTTAAGAAATACATCATTTGTTACAAAACCCATGATAGAATCAAGAATTGGCAACACTGAATGTTAGTGATACATAATGGCATTGAAAAAGTGCCGCACATAATTCTATGAACAAAATAAAATGTGTTTCTCCTGGAGAGAAAGCAGCGTTGTAATGGAAACAACAGAGACATATTCAGTTACTTCTGATTTACACCAGTATAAAGGAGATTAGAGAGGCCGATGTCCATGCAGAGAAACTTGGATTCTCTTACAGGAAGGATCAGCACCTAAGGTAACTGTTAACCTTGATTTAGTAAATGATGATCAAAGGCACAATCAAAAGGTGTTCTTACAGTGCGCTGCTGCCCTTGGCTCCAGCCAGGCCAGAGTTACTACAGTGTTAAAGTTCACCATCTGGAGTTCTACACAACAGTCTGTTTTCTCAGCTTCCTTCAGATGGTAGTCAAATGCCGGAGCTCACAAGTCTGCATTTAGTTGGCCAGGTGCCTCCCCTAACCAACTGTCCGGACACCAAGGTTGCTGCAGAGGAGGAACAATGCTGTTGTCAGCTATGTGGTGGTGTGAGCCAATCTTGGCTTGGGTCACCTCTTAAGGTCTTGCATCATTGCTGAATACCCGTAAAGACATGTCCCCTTTCTGGTACGACCTTTGTGGGACTTGATGTTATGGGCATTTACCAGCTTTTAATTTGATAACTTCCATTGACTAGCCCTGAAAACCTGAGGTGTCTATGAGAGCCTGTTTGCATCATGCTCCTTAGATTTCATTTGGCAAATAACTTAGCCTAAAGGTTTATTGCACATAATGACCCATTACCTTGCAAACATGAAAGAGGTTTGCTAAAGCAAGAGACTGATCTAAAACAAGCAAAGTATTTTTACAGACGTGAGGGGTAGACAATTTGAGTGGTGAACGCTTACAAACAAAATAACTTTTATTTTGTATTTTGGTAACAAGATTTCATCCCAGTATATTGTGCAGAACAGACATATGCAGTATACACATCCCCTCCCCTCTTTTGGGGGTGATAATCTTGATGATTATCCCAATACTGTGTTACTTTATCTGAAACCTGATTTTTATATTTCCATTGAGTTTGATTATGATAACCAAACAATTTATAACACAGATAACCTATGTATTGTCATACAATAAAACATTATAGCTATAATATAGCTATTAATCCTACATTATTATAATGAACGTTTGAGTTTCAATCTGGGTTCTGCCACGTTGCCTGACAAACTCCAAATCAAAATTTTATATACATTGAGACAAATATACCAGTATTTATGACTGATATTTGAAAAGATTGAACCACCATTGATGTCTTATAGGAACACACCCATGGTGGTTAAACCCTAATTCTAATATTGAAATAAAGTATTACCACAAAAAATGGTTTTCCTACTAATATTTTTTTCTGCATTTGTGGGCAAACATGTTGTTGCAACAAAAACTTTCCCAAACTAAAAAAATAAATTATAATCTGGCCACTTGACACAAAACATATAACTAACAAACAAACACATAATCCCAGCATACCATATCACCATTCTCAGAGTAAAAATAACAGGAGTACTTGTGGCACCTTAGAGACTAACAAATTTATTAGAGCATAAGCTTTTGTAGCCCACGAAAGCTTATGCTCTAATAAATTTGTTAGTCTCTAAGGTGCCACAAGTACTCCTGTTATTTTTGCGGATACAGACTAACACGGCTGCTACTCTGAAACATTCTCAGAGTGTAGTTCGGGACCCCAAAGTGGGTCACGACTCCCATTTTAATGGGGTCGTCAGGGCAAGCGTTAGACTTGCTGGGGCCCGGGGCCAAAGCCCCAGCCCTACTACCTGGGGCTGAAGCCGAAGCCTGAGGGCTTCATCCCTGGGTGGCAGGGCTCAGGTTACAGGCCCCCTGCCTGGAACTGAAGCCCTTGGGCTTCGACTTTGGTCCACCCACACAGGGCAGTGGGACTTTTTCTTTCCGGACCAGCCAAAGACCGTCCCAGCTTGCAGCTTTCTGTACAGGCCAGTGTTCCTAAAGAGACATCATGCACCTTCCCTGACCAGCCCTGGTGATCCATCAGCACTTGCAATATCATAGAAAAGTAGCCCTTTCTGTTGATGTACTCTACCGCAAAGTGGTCAGGTGCCAAAATAGGGATATGAGTGCCGTCTATCACCCCACTACAGTTGGGGAACCCTCCCACTGCTGCAAAACAATCCACTATTTCTCACACATGGCCCAGAATCACAGCCCTTCGTAGCAGGACAAAATTAATGGCCCTACACGCTTTGCATCAGAGTATCCCCCACAGATTCCAAACTGATTTCCGACTGACTGGTAGCAGTCTGGTGTTGCCAGCTTAATCCTGATCTGATGGTATCACAGGACTTAACCAGATCAGCTACAACATCACCGGTTCATTCACCTGCACGTCCACCAATGTTATATATGCCAGCAATGCCCCTCTGCTATGTATATTGGCCAAACTGGACAGTCACTACATAGGAGGATAAATGGACACAAGTCAGATATCAGGAATGGCAATATACAAAAACCTGTAGGAGAACACTTCAACCTCCCTGGCCACACAATAGCAGATGTTAAGGTAGCCATCTTACAGCAAAAAAACTTCAGAACCAGACTCCAAAGAGAAACTGCTGAGCTCCAGTTCATTTGCAAATTCGACACCATCAGATCAGGATTAACCAAAGACTGTGAATGGCTATCCAACTACAGAAGCAGTTTCTCCTCCCTTGGTGTTCACACCTCAACTGCTAGCAGAGGACCTCACCCTCCCTGATTGAACTAACCTCGTTATCTCTGATTCTTGCCTGCATATTTATACCTCCCTCTGGAAATTTCCATTACTTGCATCTGAAGAAGTGGGCATTCACCCACGAAAGCTTATGCTCCAATACATCTGTTAGTCTTAAAGGTGCCACAGGACCCTCTGCTGCTTTTTATAGACATGTCAACATCCCCAATGGTTATTTTCTGGTCTGGGAAGTAAATCCCTTGCTGCAGCCATTTAAACAGACTAGTGTTCCTGAAGACACGAGTGTCATGAACCTTTCCCGGCCATCCCACGTTGATGTTGGTGAAATGTCCCTTGTGATCCACCAGTGCTTGCAGCACCACTGAAAAGTACCCCTTGCGGTTTATGTACTGGCTGCCCTCGTGCTCCGGTGCCAAGATAGGGATATGGGTTCCATCTATCGCCCCACCACAGTTAGGGAATCCCATTGCAGCAAAGCCATCCACTATGACCTGCACATTTCCCAGAGTCACTACCTTTGGTAACAGCAGCTCAGTGTTTGCTTTGGCTACTTGCATCACAGCAGCCCCCACAGTAGATTTGCCCACTCCAAATTGATTCCCGACTGACCGGTAGCTGTCTGGCGTTGCAAGCTTCCACAGGGCTATTGCCACTCGCTTCTCAACTGTGAGGGCTGCCTTAATCCTGGTATTCTGGCGCTTCAGGGCAGGGGAAAGCAAGTCACAAAGTTCCATGAAAGTGCCTTTACGCATGCGAAAGTTTCGCAGCCACTGGGAATCGTCCCACACCTGCAACACTATGCGGTCCCACCAGTCTGTGCTTGTTTCCCGGGCCCAGAATCGGCATTCCACCATGATCTCCAAAGTGCCAGGGCCCGTGGTTTGAGAGAATTCTGTGTCCATGTCCTCATCACTCTCGTCGCCGTGCTGCCGTAGCCACCTCCTCCTCGCCTGGTTTTGCAGGTTCTGGTTCAGCATAAACTGCATGATAATGTGCGAGGTGTTTACAATGTTCATGACTGCTGTCTTGAGCTGAGCGGGCTCCATGCTTGTCGTGGTATGGTGTCTGCAGTGTTCACCCAGGAAAAAAGGCACAAAACGGTTGTCTGCCGTTGCTTTCCCGGAGGGAGGGGGAGGATGTACTCAGAACCACCCGCGACAATGTTTTTTGCCCCATCAGGCATTGGGATCTCAACCCATAATTCCAATGGGCGGGGGAGACTGCGGAAACTGTGGGATAGCTACCTACAGTGCAACACTCCGGAAGTTGACGCTAGCCTCAGTACATGGACGTGCACCGCCGAATTAATGTGCTTAGTGTGGCCGCGTGCACTCGACTTTATACAATCTGTTGCCAAAAATCGAATTCTGTAAAATCGGAGTAATCCCGTAGTGTAGACATACCCTAAATCAGTGTCACTTAAATTGACTTAATTTTGTGTGTAGACAAGGCCTCTGTAATCTTTCTCTTTGCAAATTCATCCAGCTTGCTACAGATCCAGTTCCTCTTTGTGTAGCACCCTGAACTGCGGGCAGTGATTCCATATATATAGGCACATTCTCCTTCTCCTCCTCCTCCTATTTGAACCCTGCAAAAAAGTAAGAGCAATGAAGCTACAATCAGTCAGGGGCTAGACCTCTCCTTCTCATCTCAGAGGACTCTTGAGAGGATGAAATTGACCCCTGTGTAAGAGGCCATTACAAGTAGAGTGTGAATAATGGATTTTTCAGTTCACTGGCAATTCGGAAAAAAAAAAAATGATGGAAAAAATCATTCCAGGTCAACCTGGAAAACAATATTTTTCAAAAATTTTGGAGAATCAAAAAGTAGAAAAAATTAGTTTTGGGTCTATGTCTTTGGCAAAAGAGAAACACTTCATTATGATTCTGACCATTTTAAAATGTTTTAATTGTTTTTTTAATTATATTAAAGGAAGTTCCAAAACAAAAAAGTCGTTTCAAATGAAAAAAATTAAAACATTTTGTTTTTTTCAGGATTCTTTCTTTTTAACTGAAACCATCTCGTGAAACCAACATGAATTCACAAAACATTTCAGCATAGCTGAATGTGCCATTTGGAAAAAAAGTTTTGGCTGAAAAAATTTCACTTAGCAGTAATTGCAAGACCTACCAATGACTTAAGTCTTTTCTGCCACCTCTCTGACAATAGAATTTCTTCCCTGGTGTTACCATCTCCCCTGTTTAGTTCTACCCTGTGGCATCAGCACAGAATTTGAATCCAAGTCCTAATGAAAATATTGAATTATTATGCAAGCAGACTAACAACCAGTGATTATTTCCAGTAGATCTGTCTCAATTCAGCCTTTTAGTTGTGTGGAACTTCCACTCCACATATTGGCCCTCTGCTCCCAGAGCCCTGATTGGCTGGCAGGAAACACTACCTTACTTCCAGCTCTTCTCCTATTGGACAAGGCTACAAAATAGGGCATGTGCTGCTGCCGGGATTCAGCAAGATGAGAGGCTGATGGCAGGTTCTGTTTATCACTCTCAGACCTTGTCACCCATAGTATCAGAGCACCTCACAATCCTTGTAGATCCTCACAACTCCCCTGCTTTTATCCCAGTTTTAGAGATGGGGAATAGGGAGGTTATGAGACTTGGTCAAGGCCATACAGGGAGTCTGTGGCAGAGCAAAGAATTAAGCCCAGGTCTCCTAGTGTCAGGTCAGCGCTGTAACCGTTGGTCCATCCTTCCTGCTAAGGGAGCAGCTCTGGTCTCTGTGAGCCTGCATGGCCTTTGAGAATCAGCTGGAGCCCAAGGGGAAGGAAATGCTCTGACTGATGCTGGAGTGGCACTTGGACTGTGCATTTGCCAATGAAGGTGCTGGACTTATTTCCAGGTGAACTCCTGCCTCCCCAAGGACTGTAGGAGGGGTCTCCAGTCATCCCACAACACGGGGTGGGAGTTTAGAACTGACCCACAGAGAGGGGAGCCCCCACCACAGCTGCCTGTGACCCAGGCGAGTGAAGAAAGGAACTCACAGGTCGTTGAATACTGAGCCATTGGGCCACTTCCAGGGCTGGCCTGGTTCCCTCCTGAGGCCGATCCAGGCATCAAGGTAGCCTTTGTGTTGCATCAAGAAATCCTTTTGAAGAATGCAAAGGGGAAATAGATATTACCAACCAAACCCCTTGGACTCACCTTCTCTCCCTACTCATAGAGTCATAGGCCCTGATTCCCCTTTATGCTAAGGCAGGGCAGTGTAAAAGGGCCTCAGCATAACAGAGAACTCAGACCCTAGATCCTAAGGCCAAAAGGGACCATCAGATGATCTAGTCTGACCTCCTGCACAACAAAAAGCAGACGGATCTACCCAGTGACTCCTGCATCCAGCCCATAACTTCTGGTTGAGCTAGAGTGCCATTTAGAAAGTCATCCACACTTGATTTAAAGACTGCAAATGATGAAGAATCCATGACCTCCCTCCGGAAGCTGCTCCCAGGGGTAATTAACCACTGATAAAAAGTCGTGCCTTACTTCCAGGTTGAATTTATATAGTTTCAGCGTCTCTGGATCTCCCTCTTCTTTTGCCTGCTAGACTGTTCTAGTATCTGATATTCTCTCCTTGTATAGATAAGACCAACACTGAGCCCTTTTGAAAAGCCTGCCCATATTCCCCCCGTGCCTCAGTCCAACATCTGTAAAATGGGAATAATAATCTTCTCTTTGTCTGTCTTGCGTATTTAGAGTGTAAAATCATCAATGCAGGAACTGTCTGTCCCTGCATGTCTGTGCAGCCCGTGGCACAACAAAGCCCTGATCTCCGCTTGGGGAGGGACTGCCTCTCGCCGTGTGTCTGTGCAGTGCCTGGCACAACGGGGCCCTGATCTCAGTTGAGGCTCACTGCTACAATGCAAATAAATACCATTTTTATTCTGCATTCAGCAATGGCTTTGCCCTGTTTTGGGAGGTAGCAGCTGCCTCACTTCAGGGGGTGCTATTCTTTTTCTCCTGGGCTGAGCTAACTTTAATCTGTACCTACAATCATCTTTATTTTTTTTATTTCATCACCTTTTCTTTCAGGGTGTCAAGCCAAGCCAAGGAGGCACCGTGGGAAGAGCAGGAACGTTGGCTCGTGGTCCAGTTTGCTTTATCCTCAGAGAAAAAGTAACATTTTCCTTGGTAACCAGTCCAGTCTTCAGGGCAGCAGGCGGCAGGGCTGTCGGGAAGAGTCAGACTGTCCTTTGACACTGAAAAGTAAAAAGGGGTAAGAGCATCTTTCTCCAACCCAACCTCTGTATCTACTGGGAATCAGAGGGCAAAAACCCTTCAGAACATCTGGTGGCTGCTGCAAAGCATCAGCAACCAAACAGGGTGAGATTTACGAAGAGAAATGATCCCCAAATCAAAGTCAAGCTCCTACTTTGAGATCAGGTCATGTGATAGAACCCCTTGCACTGTACAGCGAAAATGCACATCTACCAGGTTTATTCACGAACACAAGCTCTGGGTGTTACCTTTAGGGCGGGGGCATTAAACACCTTTCCCATTTAGGGTAGGACTTCCAAAACTGCTCAGCGCTGGGCTAATGCTGCTCCCATGGAAGTCAACGGTAATCCCCCTGCCCCTAATGAATTGCTCTGACCTGCACGGCATAGTCAAATTCTGTAAAAATAATAATAAAAATACCTAGTTCTTATATAGCTCTTTTAAGCCATAGATCTCAAAGTGCTTTTCAGAAGAGGTCAGTATCATTATCCCCATTTTATAGATGGGGAAACTGAGGCACAGATAGGGGCGGTGACTTGACCAAGATCACCCAGTGGCAGAACTAGGAATAGAACCCAGGGTTCCTGAGACCCAGCCCAGAGCTCTATCCACTAGAGAACACTGCCTCCCTGTAGCCACTCAGCTTTCACCTTTTTAAAAATATCACATCTAGTCTTCATGGTAGCAAAGAGAGTCGTCCAAATGTGACCCAAGCGCAACCCACGCAGCATCTGTCCGAGTTTACAGAGAGCTTGACACAGTGGATCTGAGAGGGGAGAAGCTACCCTGAGTGTAACCACCACAGCAACACTGCCTGAGTCTGCAGAGAGCCTGAGCCAATTGCTCGGAGTGGTGTGAATTGCCCTCCAAGTCAATTTATCTCATTGCAGTGTTCACTCAAAACCCTCATGATGACATGCTAAATACTAGCATTAACTATTTAATTGTCATTTCAGCAGATAGGATAGGAAAGATGTGGGAGTAAGAGTTAGTACAAAAAGACCAGATTCCACCTTGATCTCTGTTCAAACCTACCACTGACATCATTGGGAGACTAGTGGCAGACCATAATTAAAAATGAAATTTGTTTCTCTTCTCCCAATGAGTCACTAGGTGTCACTGTTGCCTTCCTGTAAACATAGGATGTGCCAGGAGGACTTCACTAGTCTGAGCCAGTCTGACCTACCTGTATGGTCTATTCCAGGGGTCTCAAACTCAAATGACCACGAGGGCCACATGAGGACTAGTACATTGGCCCGAGGGCCGCATCACTGACACCCCCCCTCGCTGGCCCCGGACCCACTCCACACCTTACATGAGGCCCCGCCCCTGTCCTGTCTCTTCTCCACCTCCTCCCCTGAACGCGCTCCTCCCCCCTCCCTCCTGGAAAGTGCTAAGCGTTATACAGAGCATACAGATCACTGCTGCTCCTACAACAAGTCATTTCCAAGCAGTTTTAATAAAATATATACACAAACAATCACTGGGATAAGGAGTAATGCACCTCACTCAAAGGACAAAACATGCACTTAGTTAGATTTACTTCTGTTAAAGCCCCCCCACTGCACTGGGCTGCACCACCACTGCACCCCTGCTCTGCCTCTTCCAGGGGTGGCAGGTTTGTAGAAATTTTGGTGGTGCCCAGAACCTGCCCCCCGAAACTCTGCCCCCCACCTGCCTAAGGTTCTGGGAGGGAGTTTGGGTCGGGCAGGGGGGGGGGTGCAGGCTCTGGGATGGAGTTTGGGTGCTCGGTGCAGGCTCTGGGCTGGGGCAGGGGGTGGGGGTGCAGGCTCCGGGATGGAGTTTGGGGATAGGAGGGGGTGCAGAGGTGAGGGCTGTGGGGCTGGGGATGAGGGGCTCGGGGCATTGGAGAGGCTCAGGACTAGGGCAGAAGGGCAGGGGAAGGGCAGCCTGCCCTGGCCCTAGTAGAGGGGGGCACTAGGACACCTGTGGCAGCAGGTGATGCTGGAAGCTGGCAGAGCAGAGTGGAGTTAGCATGAGCTGCAGGCTCGGGGCGGTGAGGGGGCAGCAAGTGAGGCCGGGCCCGGGGGACACTCGGGTGGAGGCGCGTGGGGGCGGCAGGCAGGGCCGGGGGAGAGACCCGGCCCCAAACATTGGGGAGCAGCGCGCGGGGAGCTTAGCTGCCACATAAAATAACTGGGGGGGGGGCGGGGGTGAGGGGAGTTTGGCGGCAACAGGAAGTAACTGGGGGGGAGCGTGGGGAGCTTGGCGGGCCGCAGGGAAGAGCTCCGCGGGCCGCGTGTTTGAGACCCCTGGTCTATTCAGTGGTTCTCAACCAGGGGTATGTGTACCTCTGGGGGTACGCGGAGGTCTTCCAAGGGGTACATCAGCTCATCTAGAATTACAACAAGCTACATAAATAGCACTAGTGAAGTCAGTACAAACTAAAATGTCGTATAGACAATGACTTGTTTACACTGCTCTATAGACGGCACACGGAAAGGTAGGTACAATATTTATTTATTCCAATTGATTTATTTTATAATTCTAGGGTAAAATGAGAAAGGCAGCAACTTCAGTCATAACGGGCTGTGACACTTCTGTATTTTTATGTCTGATTTTGTAAGCAAGTCGTTTTTCAGTGAGGTGAAACTTGGGGGCACACAAGACAAATCGGACTCCTGACTGGGGTACAGTCGTCTGGAAGAGTTGAAAGCCAGGGGTCTATATATTACACTAACTGTGCATGCTTAACCTTTTGAGGCTCGGCTCTGACTGGACTGGCAATAGCAGCAGGCCCCACAGCAAGGCTGTGGCATTGTAACTGCAGCTGATGTGCGTGAAACCAGAGAGGACAGGGCATGTCATTAGGATAGTTCTTGGCAGCGTTGTCCCTAGGGGGGTGCGGGGCCTGGGACATAGGTGTGAGTTTACCCCACGCTGTGCCCAGGCCCCGCTCCCACTCCACCTCTTCCCCCAAGGCCCCACCCCACCTCTTCCCCACGCACGCTGTACCCTCGCTCCTTCCCCCTCAGCGCCTCCTGACGCTGCAAAACCTGCTCCGCGGCAGGTGGTAGGTGCTGGGAGGGAGGGGGAGGCACTGATCGGCGAGGCCCACTGGTGGGCAGGAGGTGCTGGTGGAGGTTCTGGTAGGGGGTCTCCTCCTCGCCCCTGCCCACCTGCTACCCGCCTCGCATCTCACCTCCGTGCCTGAAGCGCGAGGCCCCCCAAAGCGCGGGGCCCAGGGCAGTGGCCCCAATTCGCCATACCCTAGGGACGCCTCTGGTTCTCGGTCTGAATGGAAAGCACAGACATGGGTTACACGCTCACCTGAACAAACAATCACTGGGATAAGGAGAACTGCAAGTAGAACTGTGACAACAGCTATGACTTTCCATGCACCACGTCTCCTGCACTCGGAGTCAAACCAATGACCTAGAAAAGAAGAAGCCATCAATAGTCACTGGGCTGCTGTAGAGGTGAGGACGGGTTACTGGCGACAGGAACATAGGACTTGTCAGATTGGATCAGACCACGGGGTCCATAGGTGCCAACTCCTTGTATTCTGGTGCTGGAGCACCCATGGGGAAAAAATATAGTTGGTGCTCAGCACCCACCAGACGCATGCTGATTGGCTGTTCGGCGGCCCCCCCACTGATCGGCTGTTCGGCAGTGGGTGGGAAGCACTGGGGGGAGGGGTGGCAAGAGGTGGAGTGAAGGCGGGGTGCAATCGGGGGAGGGAAGGGGCAGAGCAAGGGTGAGGCCTTGGGGGAAGGGGCGGAGCCTCAGGGAGAGCGGGGGCAGAGAACCCACCCGGAAAGAAGAAAGTCGGTGCCTGTGATTGGGTCCCTCTAGCCTGGTGTCCTGTCCCTGACAACAGCTGCTTCAGAGGAAAGGGCAAGACCCCTGCAGTAGGAGATGTGAGGCAATGTGCCCCCAGGACAATTCCCTTCTGACCTCATTAGTTAGAAACTGCCTTTAGGCCTGAAGCAGAAGAGATGGACAAACCAGCCTAGTAAAATTAAGACACCACCACCATGGCCCCATCACTTTTTCCTTCCTTAAGCGAGTGACTGGGGGAGGGGGCGGAGAGGAGCAAGCGGTGGGCGGGAAAGGCCTCGGGGGGGGGGGAAGAGGCGGAGTGAGGGCGGGACACTTCTGACGCTCCAAAGGTGGTAGCAGGTCAGCGCGCCTCTGGAGGGGTGACCCATGCCGCATCCACAGTATTTCCCCCCTGCATGGCCGGCGTTTTTTGGGGAGGCTTAGCCTCCCCTGGCCTCTTATACACGCTGCCCACAGAGCTGGGATTTTCAAAAGCACCTAAGGGAGTGAGGAACACTTTAGAAAATCTAACAGAATTACTGCTGTAGCTCCAGTAGTTGCAATCTGCAATTTAGTGCTACCGGTTCCAGGTTCTAAACCTTTCTGGCAACTCATCTGGGGTGTGTTGTTACATGGACAGTCAGAAGATGACACCTTGCTTGCAGTAGACAACACAGCTCCGACACACTGACCCCCTTTGGCTAGCCAGAGTAAGACTGGAGAAGAGAGTGTTATAAATATGTAAGCACTTGGCTGCTTCGCACAAGCACCACACAGTATGCCTGTCTCTGTACGACTTGAGTTACACATAGTATTCATGAACCTTGGCTTTCCTAACGAACTCAAAGGGGACAATGAGCCTGTATTTCAACATCAAGCCCTCAATCCACAGGAGTATAAAGTAGTGTAACATTCTGGCTACAGGAGTCTTGATTCCCTCTGGTAGCTTGTCACCACGAAGGATATGAGCTCACACTTGCTACCAGCTAATGGAAATAATTCTTTAGCTCACATTATAGAAGCCCATTGTCTTCACTGAAACTACTCCCACAGCTAAAGTTAACTAGGTTTAGAAGGATTAGATTTTCATCAGTAAATGTTGGTAAACATCAATTTCACCACACACACCTGAACCAGTGAACAAATATTTCCACTGATAATAATCAAAATCAGACAGGCAAAGTAAGAAAAATGTTGCTTGAGAATTTATGTATTAGAGTAAAAAGTCCAGTGATTTAGACTTCTGAATTAGGCTTGTTGCAAATGGGCTAGTGAATGAATAGTAAAAACAGGAATGGTTTGATGATTTAAGGATATTTACTTTGTATGTTTTGAAATTGTGTTTTAATGGTTTTCTGTACAGCAGTGAGTGTCTGTGGAGGGAGGAGGGGAGAGGCAGTGGGGAAAGAAAGGGAAAATGGGCTATGACAGGGGGAAGAGAAGGGTATAGGGGTAGGAATATGGGGGAGTTGGGGGAATGAGAGGGGGCAGGAGACAGTGGGGAGAGGGCAGTGGGAAAGGGAAACGGACCAGGAAGAGAAGGGGATAGGGGAACGGGGGTGGGGAGCAGGAGCCTGGCATCCAGCGACCCCTCCGCAGCAGCTGGGCTTCCCCCATTAACCCAGCCCATCTCCTCCCCAGCACTGGGAGCCCAGGTACTACTCCAGGTGGGGGAAGAGAGCCAGTGAGCCAGGGGAACTGGCTTCAGCACATGCACGTGCGTGCACCTGCCACCCCTCCAAATAGAGCAGCCAAACGACGCCTGTGTTCAAAACCCACAGCTGACTTGTGGGAGTGGGGGGGTAATTACAATCAGTAAAAAGAAATCAATAAAACCTGGGAGACAGTGTACCACCTGTTTGTTGTCAAGCAGTCTTAAGGTACCTCTGCCATTCGTGAATGAAATGTCTGGAACAGGCTCAGACACTGAATTTTCAGCAGCTAAAATAAAAATTTGTAAAGCACATATTTAGCTATTTATGCATGGATCAGCCTCTCTTGACCCAGTGGTTAGTGAAGGAGAGGACCTGATAGGCCCTGACTAGGCTAATTAGAGGGGGAAGGAGATACTGAACTTAATTGCTCTCTCCTTAGTCCTTATACATGTGAAATATTTTATTCTACATCATCAGTAAATATAGTCGCTCCTTTGGCCTGAGCGATATACCAATATTCGTGGGCTTGGAGTGATGTTTCTGTTAGGAGGAAAAATTAATGATACAAGTCAGACGCACTCTTGGTGTAATGAGTGTGGCTTATTGGAGAGAGCCCTGGACTAGCAACCAGGCCATGTGGTAATAGGGTCCTATAGAAAACAAACCCCCTAATATCGGGACAGTCCTGATAAAATCGGAACGTCTGATCACTATACTGGCCTGCCAGGTGACCTTGGACAAGTCATTTCAAAATCCCATGCCTCAGTTTCCCCATCTATAAAATCATATAATGACCGTGACCTCCTGTGTACAGCACTAGATAAGAGCTAGAGATTATTAACCCTGTACATTTACAAAGAATGCTCACAAAGTCCTTGTGATGTTACACAGCATATGCCTTATGGAAATATACTTATGAATGTGAGTATGACATAACGGGAATATGCTTTATGCTAAATATGCCATGTAACATCTTTACAAAGGTTGTAATCTGCTGAATCTGGTTTTTCCATTTGTTGGCATGTATCGTTTTTATGTCTGAATTTAGGAAAATAAGATATAAACTTGTATTTCTCTGTGTGTGCTGATGAGTGGCCCATCAGCAAACATTTAAATAACAATGGACTTTTGGGAGACGCCAATCCACATCTGCTGAGCTAACAGGTAAACAATGGCATCTGCCTGCAAAAAACTAAATCATTCATGGACATGTGACTTGCCCACGTGGCTACAAACTCCATCTTGCTGCTGTGATTTTGCACAGAAGGACAAAGGGGTTTCCGATTAGACAAGAGGAGGATATAAAAGGCCCTGGAAGCCCCTCCATTTTGTCTTCAGCTGGCTCAAGAGGCTGCCAGTCAGGAGAACACCCCTGGTTACCACATGATATGTCTGCTGGAACTAACAAGGACTGTACCAGGGGAAAGGATTGGGCCCAGGCTAGGAAAGGATCCAGTCTGTGAAGTATGTTTATTGGAACACCTTTGAGGGTGAGATATTACCTGTAACTAGATCCTCAGTGTATTAAGTTAGCCTTGCGTATTTTGATTTTATTTTACTTAGTAACTTACTTTGTTCTGTCTATTACTTGAAACCACTTAAATCCTACTTTTTATACTTAATCACTTACTCTGGGTTTATTAATAAACAAAAGGGATTTTATTAATACCTGGGGGGGAGGGGGAAACAGCTGTGCATCTCTATCAGTGTTATAGAGGGCGGACAATTTACCCAGTATAAAGCTTTATCTAGATTAAAATGGATTTATTTGGGGTTTGGATCCCACTGGGAGCTGGGTATCTGGAGACAGATAACTTGTTGAGCTGTTTTCAGTGAAGCCTGCAGCTTTTGGGGCTTGGCCCAGACCCTGGGTCTATGTTGGGCAGGCTAGTGTGTCTGGCTCAACTAGACGGAGCTCTGGAGGGCCCAGGCTGGCAGGGAAAACGGGCTCAGAGGTAATTTCAGCACAACAGGTGACAGTCCCAAGGGGGTTTCTGTGACCCAACCCGTCACAGTCCTGTCTCCCCAAACACTGTAGCAACAAACAGCAGCAGGCCTTTTCCTTGCTCAGAAATCTCCATGTCTGCCCCTCCAGCCAGCTCTGTGCCCAAAAAGCTCTGTCTCTCCGCTTCCTCTCAGGATCCAGCTCAAGACTGCTTCTTCAAGATAAATTCCTGCTTCCAGCACACCCAGGCTGCAACTGATATGTTTGCTAGCCCCTGCCTTTGCAACCAGGGAACCTCTCAGCTCACATAGCCTCGCTGTGCCCTGCCATGTGCCTAATCCCATGGGCAGTGCCTACAGTTGTCTGCATCTGTCTTTACTACACGAAGGGACTTGATTGCTCCTTTTGTTGAGCCTGAAGGAGGGTGCTAGGCAAATCCACTGTCTTTAACAAGGTCTGTGATTGTCTTCAGATCAAAGACTCACTTGATGGGAGCTTTCAGCACAACAATTTAGCACCAAAATACCCCAAAGATCACCCTTTACCTGTGGCTTCCTCTGGCTCAACGTTTATCAAGTAAGTTAAATTATTCTGTCTGTCAGTAGGGACAACTTCTTGCTTCTGATAGCTGTAGAGAAAAAAAATATATATATAGATACCTTCCCGTTATTTGTTATTGTGTGAGAACTGGCTGAAAATTCAAATTTTGACTATAAAGTGTGTGTGTATGGGCAGGGGTGAATGATGACATTTTTGTTGTTTTCCCCCCATTTTTGATTAAATTTAGAGCTGGTCAAAATATTTTAAAGTCTCGATGAAAACTTTGCTTGGAATTTTGACAAAAAAAGTCAGAGAATTTTTTTCCCCCACACACAATTTTTACCCCCTCTTTTTCAACCAGCTCTACATTCTGTTTCATGCAGTCAAGGCAAAGTACAGTACATGGGATGCTGAAAAACTGTTCACTCCAAAAGATAAAAGCCAGTTGTGTGTCCAGCAAGACTCAGCAGTGCAGGGAAGGGACATAAGTAGAGTAGTAAAAAGTTTTTCAACTGAACAACTGAAAAATGCTGATTCAACAAAATCAAACTGTTTCCCAGGACTGTGTTGATGTTGTCAAAATTTTCTATGGAAATGATTGAAATTTTGCATTTTGTTTAGAATACAATATATTGCAGAATTACAGAAATGTAGGGTTGTAAGGAATCTCAAGAGGTCATGTAAGCACGACACGAGAAGTAATTCTCCTGCTCTACTCCGCGCACATTTCAGGAAGGATGTGGACAAATTGGAGAAAGTCCAGCGAAGAGCAACAAAAATGATTAAAGGTGTAGAAAACATGACCTATGAGGGACGATTGAAAGAACTGGGTTTGTTTAGTCTGGAGAAGAGAAGACTAAGAGGGGACATGATAACCATCTTCAAGTACCTGAAAGGTTGTTACAAGGAGGAAGGAGAAACATTATTCTCCTTAACCTCTGAGGACGGGACAAGAAGCAATGGGCTTAAACTGCAGCAAGGCAGGTTTAGGTTGGACATTAGGAAAAACTTCCTAACTGTCAGGGTGGTTAAGCACTGGGATAAATTGCCTAGGGAGGTTGTGGAATCTCCATTACTGAATATTTTTAAGGACAGGTTAGACAAACACCTGTCAGGGATGGTCTAGATGGTGCTTGGTCCTGCCATGAGTGCAGGGGACTGGACTAGATGACCTCTCCAGGTCCCTTCCAGTCCTGTGATTCTATGTAGTCCATCCCCATGTGCTGAAGCAGGACCAAATAAACCTAGACCACCCTGCCCTGACATGTTTTTGTTCAACCTGTTCTTAAACACCTCCAATGATGGGGACTCCACAGCCTCCCTTAGAAGTCCATTCCAGAGCTTAATTATCCTTACAGTTAGAAAAGAATTCACATTATGTTATGTTATATACAAGTCTAAAGAAAATGTTCTGACCTTACTGAAATGTTTCTTTTCAAGAAGGTTGTTTTGCTATTTCCAAAATGAAATATCTCAGACATTTTCTTTCACAGAAAATTTTTAAATTTCGACTTGTCTTTGTTCCATATTGGAGTGAAAAATTTGAAATCTCAGAATTCCCCATGGTTTGGAAATGCCATATTTCAACCTGCTCTAGACATAGGTTATTGACCTAGCATAATGGTGCTTCTCTACTCTGAAAAGTGATGCTGTAAAATTGGTCCTTTCTCACTCAAAAAAAGTCTGTTCCTGGGATGTACCAGAGTCAGAGCTGTTCACTTCAATGGCAAGAATAAATTTGTATTGCATCATACTCCTGTTAGCCCTACAGAACACAGTTCTACGAATGGGCATGGAATATCAATAATGAATATTATTATTCAGATGTCTCTTTTGTGATGTACAGAGGTAAACAAGGAAGACAACGTTGGAACTCAAGCTGTGTGGAAACCTGTTTGAGTCTATAGTTGTGGCTGTTCAATGCATTCTTTCTATTTAAGAAGGACTGTGATTCTACACATCATGGCACAGAGGTATTGTTTAAGAGGTGTGTGTGGTGAGATGGGAATTCCTGGCAGGTTGGTGAGGAATCTTAAACTATGGAATCATCTCGCCAGGTGAAGGGATCGGAGCCCCATTGCAGAAGTCAAACTGGACAAAGCCCTGGAGAACAGACTGTAGGGAATGAACGTGAATTATCCAAGACTGGTACAGGAAGGATGGATGAGCTATTCCAATTAGAGTTTTGAAGACCCTATGGACTGACCCTTTTAGTCACTGTGTTGGAGCAGTCCTAACTTTAATCAATTCCAAACCCCTATTTCCAACATAGAGCTCACGCACAGCTCACTGATGTCAATGGAATGACTCACATTGACTTCAATGAGAATTGGATCCGCCCTGTTGCGAAGTATGAGTGTGACAGAGAGAAGAAGACACTTACCTGTCTGAACTGTGTTTGCCATCCTAGAAGGAAAAGAAAACAAGTCACTCTATGGAGGTCCTTTGTGATCTGCATCTCTGTCCACAAGTTGACTGTTACAAGAAATTATACATGGTTTGGCACCTTTGGCTGGGAATTTTCCATCGATATTATGTTTCAATTTTGGTGAACATTTTTGATTTTCTCTTGGAAAAATCAAAATGAAATCTTTTGTTTTGGGTTGGTTTGACCCAACTTGAAACACTTCAGTTTGGTGAACTGAATCAAAACATTTTGTTTCGAGTCTGTTTGACATTAAACGGCATCTGCCTTGGGTGCAGTGATGCCCCATGGGAGCTGTAGTTCAGATGCCTCATGCCCACATTCTCCCCTTTGGGCTGGGCACCTTGGTTGGACTACATCTCCCATCATGCACTGCATTCCTCCCTCTGACTGAGCCACATGGTGCATCATGAGATGTAGTCCAACAAGGGACCAGGCCCTTAAAAGAGAATGGGGACACAAAGCATCCAAACTACAGTTCCCATGAGGCACCCTGAAGTCATCAAAGGCAGGTGCAGTTTAATGTTGAAACTGACTAGAAATGAAATGTTTGGAGATTTCCAAATCAACATTTTTCAGAATTTTCCATTCTGGGGGAAAAATTGAGTATTTTGACTTTTCGTCTTGATTCAAGATGAAAACAAATGTGGAAATATCAACCAGAAATACTCACTTTCACTCAGCCTACTGACCTTCCATATAAAAATCAATTTACACCAGTGACATCCCTAGTGGACTAAAAGGACCAGATACTCAGCTGGTGTAGACCATTGTAGCTTCACTGACTTCAATCCATTTGTCTTCAATTGAGTTACACCCGTTTACACCTACTGCGAATCTGCTCTAGACTTTCTGACGACCACTAAAGCCCATTCCTGGCACCTAGCTCCCCGAACGGCCACAGAATACAATACCTCACAGTTCAGCAGGCAAACAGAAGTGTCCTCTTGTTTAAGGTTCTCGGGAACATCCTCCGTTGGGTCTTCACCACTCACTTGTCTCTGAACCTCAGACGAGATGTTTTCAAGAGGACCCAATTCTGGAGCTAATTCCACTGGAAAAAAGAGAAACTGAGAATCAGAATCATAGTTTGTGCACCATTTTCACAGTGAGCTTTCTGGATCAGGGCTTGTCATTGACACAAAGGGTCCCTGACCTGCTTGGCCTCCAGGCGCTAACAGAATATAAATGTTAAATAATAAACAAGGAAGAACTCAAGCTCAGTTCATTGATGTGGCATAATATTGTTAATATAGGCTCCTCTGTTCCTGTGTTTGGGGAAGAACAGGGGATGAGCATCTTTACACTTCCTGTATTTTGAGTTTATACAGCTTCTCCAAATGTGGGCAGCCCCTCCATAAATACCATTGGGCCTTTAGATTTAATAAAAGAATTTAGGGTTAAATTGGTGTCCTGGTGATACCCTGTATTAATAATAATAATTCCAACAGACACCCCTGGGTGTAATTAGCAGCTGATAGCTCATCTCAATTGATTGGCCTCTTACAGTTGGTATGCGTACTTCCACCTTTCCATGTTCTCTGTATGTATAAATATCTTCTGTCTGTGTGTTCCACTCTATGCATCCGAAGAAGTGAGCTGTAGCCCACGAAAGCTTATGCTGAAATAAATTTGTTAGTCCTTAAGGTGCCACAAGTACTCCTGTCCTTTTTGAGTATATTCTGACTACACCTCCTTATCTGCCCCCTACTCTGGAAGCTAGGAGCAGGGCTGGTTAAAGTCCTTATGCCAGCTCCACACTGGCTGGGAATTCCCAGAGGGTCATTTCTACCCCATTAAAGGCCCCTTTATGCTTTATAGCAGGGCTTGAGCGTGACTGGGAATCCAACCCTAAGTGATTACTACTGGGAACCACACTAGCAAATATTTTAAAATTCAAAGATTCACCGGGAATACTTACCTTTTATTAATTATTATTAGTAGTAGTAACATTACCGTTACAATTTTACCTCTGAAATTCTTCAGCAGATCACGTAAAACTTTCTGGCTTTCCCAGAGAGCCTGCACTCTGCTCTCCAGTTCAGTCAAAGAATCAACAGGCGCCTCCTCTTCACCTTTCACCTGCTCACACCTAACACAGAAAGAACAAGGTTCCTGTCAGAATACTCGGTCCTAATTGCTGAATCCACTCAGTGGGAAGATAGAACTGGGGCTAGCAAAAGCTCTGAGCATGCTGGCCCGGTATGTTATTTAGCGCATATAACAATGTAACTTGGGAACTAAATGGAGCTAACATGGAACACCAGGAGTCCTCACCTGGGCCTCCTGTCCTCAGTTCGGGGCCAGTATTGTAGTTGCTCAAGGTGATGATCTTTATTGAGCAGACTGTTCACCCCTGTTGTCCCATATGCGGACTAGTATTAAAGCCACATTAAGCAACATCTTCATTCCTAGGATTTGTGCTTCGGAGGACAAGCCAATCTCTAGGGATGGGGGTTAGTGAGGGAACTTCCCCTGAAGCAAGTCATCCCATAATTGGCCACTACGGGGAGATCTGCACCTCTCTCTGAAGTAGCCGGCACTGGCCACTATCAGAGATGGGATACTGGGCTAGATGGGCCCTTGGTCTGATCTGCTCTGGGAATTCTTATGTTCCTGTCATGCTTTCACTGTTCCATCCTCTTAGCCATTAGGACAATGAGATGCGAGGGGTATTATACATTTTCAGCTGGGCTTTATACCCTTTCCCAGTGTGATGAAGCATGAGGCTGACTAAGGAGACACATACCTGCTTAAGGCGCTGTCAATGTCCTAGAAAGAGAAAAGGAAACAAAAAGAAACTCAGCTCATCAGCCACGAATCTGAAATCTCTGTTAGGCAGAGGACTCACTTTGCCTTTATTTTTGGTTCCTATAGGAAGTTGGGCATGTTTGGAAACTTCATGCATCGCTCTGTTCTCTTCACAGCTCTGCCAGTGCCCTGCTGGGTGACCTTGGGCAAGTCACTTCCCCTACCCAGGCCTCAGTTTCCCTACATGGAAAATAGGGATAGTGCTTTTGACCTTCCTTCAGAAAGTGCTTTGAGATCTACTGATGAAAAGCTCTAGATAAGAGCCAGGTGTTGTTATTATTATTATTACTGGTTATGTCAGAGTTGGTTGAATTTTTTTAGATTTTGACCTTTTGATGACATGGGAAATTTTTGACTGAATTGCTTGGCAGGATTCCCCCCTCTTGTTTGACCAGCCATGGAGCAGGTGAGAATTTTTTGGGGGGGCATTTTGAATTTAAAAACTAAAACAAAATCAAGGAAAATGTTATGATGATTCCACTCCTCTTTCCCCCCTTTTTTAGATTCAGCCATCTCTACCATTTATCGAAGCTGTCTGTCTCCATCTATCTGTGGCTATGGCAGGGCTGTCAAATATCTGGTCTGCTTGATACAGTAATTGGGCCCGCATGACATATGCAGATACTGCAGAATTTCAGCCTTGATGGGGGGGGGGGGGGGGAGTATGTTTACAGCCTTTGTGAATGCCATAAAAACTTTCTAAAGGTGATAAAAGTGTGATCAATGGAGTGAGGTCTACAGAGAGTCTGAAAAAATAGCTCTAAGTGGGAAGAATTCCCTTCTTTAATCTCACTGTTTGTTGACCCTGAAGCCTAATGATTGCACTTTGATGTCAGCATTAACTATTTCATTGCGGATCATTTTAACAAATGAGATAGAGAAGGGGGCTAGAGAAGCTCACTGAAAGAACTGGGACTGATAACAGAAGGACATGTATCTCTGTGTGTATGTTCATGCAGGATGGAATCAAAGCAGCTCGTGTGTAAGTGTGTGATACTGTTGGATAGAATCAGATTTACTCTCTCTATATTTGTGTGTGTGTGTGT